GGTTTGAATAAGAATGGCCCCCAGAGGCTGATATTTGAATGTCTGGTTCTCAGCTGGTAGACTATTTAGGAAGGATGGAGGTGTGGCCTGGCTGGAGGAGGTATGTCACTGGGGGTGAACTAGGGCGTTTCAAAAGCCCATAGCAGGCCCAGCCTGCTGCCTGTGGATCAGGATGCAAGCTCTCAGCTACTGCTCCAGCACCATGCCTGCCTGCCTCCCCACCATGACGTCAGGACTAACCCTCTGAAACTACACAAGCCCCCAATCAAATGCTTTCTTTTATAAGTTGCCTTGGTCATGGTGTCTCTTTAGAGCAAGAGAATAGTAACTAAGTATGTAGTACTCTGCCTTTAGTGAGTAGAAGGCAACCCTCTTTTTTCTGTATTAACCCACGAGAAGGTACAAACTCAGGCGGAAAGTGCTCAAGTGAGGAAGCAGAACTTGTAAAGCAAGGGACAAGCTCTATGTGAGAGTTGTCTAGCCACCCTGCATCAGCCAAGCGGGTCCAGCTGTGCGCTTCCTTGTGCATGGTTAATGGTGACAGAGGCGAGGAAAATCTCCAGGTCCAGCCACTGTGCAATGCGCTAAGCAGGGTGTTAATCCTGGGCCCGAGTCAGGCAGCCAGAGAAACGAGAACAATGGCTTCATTACGGCACGTCTGAGGTGTGCCGTGGGTAAACGCAGACTTGTGCAGCTTTTATGGTGGGGTTGTACACAGTTAATCACAGAGGAACCAAATAGAAATACCGTGTAACTGAGGAGGAGGGCACAGGGATTCTCTAGGTTTGTGCTGCCCAAAGAGGCCTTTTCTCAGGAGCAGACTCAGAAGCAAACACAAGGTCACTTCAGCGGGTTTCAAGCCTGGTTATAAGCTACACTCAAGAAGCCAAAAGCTGCAGACCACAGGCATTGTTCGGCATTCCCTGCTTGGACAGAAGAAACTGCCCTAGCATTAAACCAATCCCAAGCTCCAGAAGAGATGAGAACATGAGTTCTGCTCTCCCTGCAGAGCATCCATGGCGCTTTTACTTATACTGGAAAGACCTTACATCTAAGTTCTTGTTAACTTGTCTTTGCTAGTTAGCCAGTCACACGCCAGGATCGATATGCTAACTAACCAGTACCCCTTCCACCTGGCCATCCCCACCCCACCTGCACAACTACAATACTCCCTGAGTTCTTTACTTCTCGTTTAAACTGCCCTTTTAATCTCAATATTTATTTTCCAAAAAAAGCAAAGTGTTTTAAACAACTAATACAAAGCACTTTCAACATCAGAAATGCGTATTATATAAATACAGTTTTATAAGATCTCATACACAGCAACTCATGGATAAAACTGGAACATGGATATTGTTCTCTCCATGATTTAACATTAAGTGTTAGAGTTTTTCATTTCTACCAATAATGACCTCAGCTAGGGCCAGTGATCTAGGCCTTACACTTTGGGGAAAACTAAATTGAAAGGAGAATGACATGATTCAATGATGTAAGTCAAATTACAGCATCAACTATAAAACTCAATCTACTGACACTGGGGCCAGAAACATGATGCGTTAGGAAAGTCTGTCCCGGATCCTTGGATAGTAGATCACATTATGGGTCAATACCTTTTCTTATGAGAGGCCATTTCCCTAGGACTGCTACGAACAGGCGGACCCAGGAAACAGACATAAAGTTCCAGTGTCGAGCTACAGGCTCTGCACCACAGTGAATGCCTCATACCTGAAGTGTATGTAATAAGCCTGGCAAGTTTTATGTAAGATTTTAACAACGCATCCAGATATCAATTCCTTATACTGTATTCCAGTTGTCCTTTATCTATATTCAAGGAAAACAAGCAGTATCTTTTTCTCTCAATATATTTTTGGTTCCTGCATGTTTAACATGTACCTCGGTGCTCACATGCATCATACAAAGAGTAGCGCCTCATTCCATCCCTTCACAGAACACAGCCCGGCAGACTTAAGAGCCAATCCAAAGCAGATCCGGCACTGATGACAGACCCAGGACTCTGGCCTAAGGTCCCCAGCCAGTAATTCTGGGAGCAGCCTCTATTCCATACCCCTGCCCCCAAAAAGCATGCCCTCACTGCCTAGAACACCCCTAGGCAGTGCCCTTGCCTCATGAGCTCACTCTTCGCTACAAGCCCATATCTCCCTTGACTCTGTGACTGAAATATCAGAAAACAAAGTCACAAAGGTGAGGGTTTGGGGGTCTAGGCAGTTCTCCTTGGTCCAGGAAACAGTCCTTTGAAAAACCTTACATATAGACTTTCTTAGACAGAAACATAAAACTCTCTTATCTTTCATTTAAGCAAGGAAAGAAAAATCCAAGAAAACGTGAGCTTACGTCAGCTCGAGCTTATTGTCCTGAACCAGGCATATCTTGGAGACTTCCCACCCTACACACAGAGGTGCAGGGTTGTCTGCGGCAGAGAGAAGTTAGGCTCACTATCACATGAAACTTCTGAAGGAAGTCTGCAGCAAGTCTAAGTGGTAGCTTCTAAAATCCTGCTACTGTCTGGCGGACTGGCAGGGTTAGCAGCCCCTGGGAACCAAGGCACAATCTCAAGGCCCACTCCAGACCCACTACTTCAGAATCTCCAATTTAATAAAACGTTCAGGTAATCACTGCATGTTCAAGTTCAACATGAAGCAATCCAATGGGTGTGTGTACCAACACCTTGCCTTCGTCCCCGATGGTCAAAGCACTGAGTTTTAGAAACTCAGGAACTGAAGACACCATTGAAAGCCCTACCGAGAAGCGGCCAGCCCTGGTTTTAGCTCTTCTACAACCCAAAGGCTGGGCAGGGAACTCAGACAATCAGCTTCTGTCTGCAGCAGGCAGCTCCAATTAGCGCAACAGAGAGACTAGACAGACCACAGACAACGGCCTCAGATCCTCACAATGCCTCAAGTGTACAGGCTAGGTTCTCGCACTGCCTCTCAGGCTGGAGGCTTTCTGACTTTTATTATCCACTCCAGTTGCCTTGGAAATTTATACTGATGTGGTTTTTATCTGCCAAAAATTAATAGTAAATAAACGGCAAAGGGAAAGGAAAGGAAGCACATTGAGATCTGCCCATCTGGAACTGGCCTGAGACCCTGTTCCTGGTAGTTATAGCAACAGTGACCTTGTTTGGATGTGTCATCCTGGCAGGCTTTTACAACCTTCAAGAAATCCCTGAACCCACCCATGCTCCATGCCGCACTCTCTGTGCTGGGATGGTGGTTCGTGCCCCCATGCCATGTGCCTGCCTCCCCCGACTCACCCCCAACACAGCACATTCTCAGGCAGGTTACTTATGGAGGCAGGGCTCTTCCAGGACAGTTTAAGGCCCTCAGGATTTCTCAGACAGTCTCAGGGAACATGAAAAACTGCTGGGACCTTCACAAGGCCCCAACACTTGCAGAGGGCAAGGCTGAGAATGAGAAATGTCAAAGGGACAAAGTGAGCATCCCCAGGGCAGGGAATGTCACACCCCTACACGGACTTCAGGCATGCTCAGCTTTGTCAACATACTGTCAGACTGTGGGGTAGAGCACACAACAGCTCACAGTCCGTCAGTCAGACTGTGGGGTAGAGCACACAACAGCTCACAGTCCGTCAGTCAGACTGTGGGCTAGAGCACACAACAGCTCACAGTCCGTCAGTCAGACTGTGGGCTAGAGCACACAACAGCTCACAGTCCGTCAGTCAGACTGTGGGCTAGAGCACACAACAGCTCACAGTCCGTCAGTCAGACTGTGGGGTAGAGCACACAACAGCTCACAGTCCGTCAGTCAGACTGTGGGCTAGAGCACACAACAGCTCACAGTCCATCAGTCAGACTGTGGGCTAGAGCACACAACAGCTCACAGTCCATCAGTCAGACTGTGGGCTAGAGCACACAACAGCTCACAGTCCGTCAGACTGTGGGGTACAGCACACAACAGCTCACAGTCCGTCAGACTGTGGGGTAGAGCACACAGACAGCTCACAGTACGTCAGACTGTGGGGTAGAGCACACAACAGCTCGCAGTCCGTCAGTCAGACTGTGGGGTAGAGCACACAACAGCTCACAGTCCGTCAGACTGTGGGGTAGAGCACACAACAGCTCACAGTCCATCAGTCAGACTGTGGGCTAGAGCACACAACAGCTCACAGTCCGTCAGTCAGACTGTGGGCTAGAGCACACAACAGCTCACAGTCCGTCAGTCAGACTGTGGGCTAGAGCACACAGACAGCTCACAGTACGTCAGTCAGACTGTGGGGTAGAGCACACAACAGCTCACAGTCCGTCAGTCAGACTGTGGGGTACAGCACACAGACAGCTCACAGTACATCAGACTGCTGGGGCAGAGCACACTAAGGCATAATCAGGAGAAACCAACCTTTCCCTGGGGCATGACTTCTGTATATCAGCATCCAAACAAGCATTCACCACCAGCTCTCAATTCCAAGCTCAGTAAAATGAGTGAGTGCTGGTCATGGTCACCTGTAGCCCTAGTACTTGGGAGGCTGAGGCACGGGGGCTGCCACAACTTCAAGGCCAGTTGGGCTACACAGTGAGTACCAGGCCAGATAGGTTTACAAAGTGAGACTTTGTCTCACAAAACCAAACCAAACCAAACTGAGCGAAGTAAGTCATGTGGTCTCCAGCCAAGAGAGGTGAAAACTGAAGCCACTTTTTAAAAGTAACAAGTGTTGGCAAATATCTGAAGTTAACTGAACTATTTAAGATGTTATTAGCCAAGCAATGTGAGAAAGGCCTGGGATTCCAGTACTTAGGAAGGGTCAAGTTGGAGGTTTGCAAATTCAAGAACAGCCTGAGCTACAAAGTGAGATGTCTCAAAAACATAAATCTAAATCTCATTAATTTCCACACAAAAAAGTGCACATAGCTTTCCCATAACCAGAAAAAGCATCTCCAATAACCTTTATAGACTCATTGTTATTAATCATGTCCCCAGCATCAAAAGAGACAAGAGGATGATCCACGTGGGATGTCTTCTTACCATTTCGAGACACATCCAGCTCTACTAGCTGCATGAAGTTTGCTATTTCCGGGGGGAGCCGCTGAATTTCATTGTCACTGAGTCCAAGCTTTCGTAATTTGACTAGCTGGAAAAATTGCTGGAAGAGAAAATGGTGTAACGTAAGTTTCACATACATTTGCATGACTCTGAGCTAAAATAACATTTCAGTTTGTCTTTTAAAACTAATGAAGACTGTACCCATGCCAATTTCCTCATTTGAGCGGTAACCTGATCATATAAAGACATCATTGGCATAAACTGTATACAAAGTACCTCTCAGGACATATCATTTTTGCAAATTCCTATCCATCTACAAGTATTTAAAAATGTTTAAAAAATGAATAAGCAACTTCATGAGAATAGATTGTCACATATTCTATTTATTAAAACTATGTTATTAAATACATATATGTAAACATAATCATTTATTTTAGAAGAACTTTAATTAAAACTACTGTTTATACAAAGCATAATACATTAATTCTATTGGTTTTAGATGTAATATCTCACAGTGTCTGCAGCAAGTAGGAAAACATTTTGACCAGGAATCAAAAGTCTCCACTGGTTCCCAGGGCCAAAGCACAATGACTATGTAGTCTTTCTAATGCATCCTTCAACAATGTACTAAATTTGTACAGAGATGAACATAAATATAAAAATATGCAATAAGCCTATGAAGACTACTGTTGCTTAAAGTGTTCCTGTGTCCCGGCCGGTGGTCGGGACAAATCTCTCCCACTCACGTCCTCCAAGAAAACACACAGAGGCTTATATTAATTAAAACTGCTCAGCCATTAGCTCAGGCTTATTATTGACTAGCTCTTACACTTAAACTCAGCCCATTCCTGTTCATCTATATGTTGCCATGTGTTCCGTGGCTTTACCTGTGTGCCATTACATGCTGTTCCCTGGACGGCAGGCTGGTGTCTCATGACTCAGCCTTCCACTTCCCAGAATTCTCCTTATCTACTTATCCTGCCTACACTGCCTGCCTGGCTACTGGCCAATCAGCATTTTATTAAACCAGTGTACAAAAGCATTATTCCACAGCATTTCCCCTTTTCTGTTTAATTAAAAAGGAAGGTTTTAACTTTAACATAGTAAAACTGCATATAAGAAAACAGTTATCAAGCAAGAATTATAGTTACAATATTTAGTCTATTTGTATTTGGCAAAATTAAAGAAAATATTCTATCCTATATTTGTGAGTCTAGAGTTTTACATCTAATTTATCTTTTATCATAATCAAGGAAAATTATAACTATCTAGTCTTCAACTACATCAAAGACCCCAGAAGGATATAATATTACCTAAGTAAACAGGAAGTGCATTGTAATCAACTTCCAAAAATCTAGAATGGCAGAGACAGCTGCCTGCCTGGACAGTCATCCAAAGTTCCTCTGTAACATTGGGGCATCTATCTTCAGCCCACAGGCCTACTCTCTCAGTTACTTTTTTTTCCTCTGTGTCCTGTAGAATGTCTAGCAGTTTCTTCTGTGAAGCAGGAACCTGAAGAACCATCTTGCCTTGCAAAGTTCTGTGTCACCTTTCTATGGGTCCTGCATGTCCAGTTGATACAACATTTTTGTCAAGCAGTTCAGGCAAAAACAGTTTCTTGCCCAAATGGCTATTTTTGCGAGGAAGAAGATAAACTCCATATGGAGTGTCTTCGATGCTCATATTTCTCTCTGAAATAAATTGGTGCTGCTAGGAGCAGATGTGTCTCACTGTCCAGAAAGTCTAAGTTTTTAAAACATTTTAAATGCCATATTCTGTAGGTGTTTGAAGTGTTTGAAGATTACCTCCTTAAATGAATTATATCTATGTATACCTAGAAAACTTAACATGACTATAAGTTTGACTATCATAGAAGGCTAATTATTAATCTGTATTCCTTAATTATCAATTACAATTTAAATGAGTTACATAAACATAGCACTTTAAACAAGAGTAGAAATATACATACAGTATAACAAAACTAACTTTAAATTTGTATCAATAAACTAAGATCTATACCAATGTAAAACACTTTAAACAAGTCGCTCTTTAAAAGTAGGTTCAACAATCCACCCTTTTATGCTATCATGTCTACATCCTGTATTTCCATATCAGACTACTAACACACAAAGCAAGAGGCAAACTAGATAATTATGCAGCAAAATTCTTAAAGCCAAAATGCAGGACAAATAATAATAAAGTTAAAGGAAGGAAGGAAGGAAGGAAGGGAGGGAGGGAGGGAGGGAGGGAGGGAGGGAGGGAGGAAGGAAGGAAGGAAGGAAGGAAGGAAGGAAGGAAGGAAGGAAGGGAGGGAGGATCAAGTAGCCATAAAGAAATTAGGAGAAGTACCTCTAAAGGAAGGAAAACTGATTGAAAACTCATTTTTAAGAAAGTTAAATCCTTGTCTTCTCTTCTCTGCCCTTCATAGTCAGGCAAAAAGTTAACTGAAAAAGTTAAAGCATGAGGGCTTTAAGGGCAAGAATAAGGCAATCCCGCCACGCCACACACACACAAACAAACACACACACACACACACACACGCACACACACACACACACACAAACAGTCCAGAGAGAGCTCACCCTCCTCCTGTCTGGGGGCAACCAGGACTCCAGGCATGGGCACAGACCTAGTGACACCAATTATCATAGAGAAGAGCTGACATGATGTCCCCCACCTCCAATACACAGTTTCTGCACATGCTCATCTCACCCACATTCCTGGGATCTGGATCTCTAATTTAAAGAGTCTATATTCTCTAGATACCTAAGAAAAAAAGCCTACCATATGCCAAAAGCCAAGTGTGTACGCATGCACATGCAGGAACACACACACACACACACACACACACACACACACACACACACACACACCACCACCACCACCAGAGAAACAACACAAGGAACCAAAGAAAACTTCATCAGCTAAAAAGTACAGGATGGGGGTGGGGGGAGAATCAAGCTGAAGCAGTATGTTACCAAATCAAGAAAAATTTGAATTAAACACTTGGAAATTTAAAAATATTGTAGCCTCCACAAAAGATTCTAAGAGAAGTAAATAAAATAAACAAACTTCCTCAGAAGAAATTTGGCAAAACTCAGAGATGGTAAAATAGGAGGAACAAAAAACAGAAAGAAAACTAAACAACTCCACAAGCAATAACCCATGCCAGTAATATGGAACCCAAACACAGGAAACTGCAGAACACGGCTTTTCTGTTCCCGAGGGCACACCTTCAGGACAACACGAACGTGTTCCAGTTTGGATCTGAACTGTATCCCGCATCTGGTGGTGCTGTGAGGAGGGGACTTACGGAAGCTTCAGTAGGTGGCAAATCTAGCTGGAAAGAGAATGTCACCATCACTTGATGGTGACAGTCCAGAGCCAGGTTTCACCTCGATTTCTCTGTATACTGGTCCATCATGATGTAGACAGGCCCCTCCTTGAGCTTACATTGCCATAAATGCATCTCTTCCCACTGCCATATCTACCCTGCTATGATGGACCAAAACCATAAGCCAAAATAAATCTTTCCTCCCTTGTTTCTGTCCGTTATTCTGATCACAATCATGCAAAAATAACTAATGGAATGGAAAAAACACAATTAAGGAATATTGAACTAATAGAACTAAAAGTTCTACAGTAAGTACAGAACTAATTGGAATTTTAAACTCCCGAAGATGAGTGGAATAAAGGGGGAAGCGACTGACAGCGAGTTTGAATTCAGATCAGCACCGGTCCTGACACAAACCTGAAAAGTCAATGACACATGCCTTAAAAAGACAAGAAGTTAATTCCCACCCAAATATGAAAAACTTGCTTTTCCACACTTTCCCCAGAAATCTGTCAAAATGTGGATGTAAACTTAAAAGAATGATATGACATTCAGGATAGCAAAGCAGCAAAACTCAGAAGGACAACAGAAATTCCAGGGAGATCCCCATAAGCCCCTGAACCACAGTCCATGAAAATAACCTGAATACACAGAAGCCAGATATATAGGCTCCCAGATGAGAGTTTTGAAGGAAAAAAAATGAATGAAAACTCATCTCAGGGATTATCTGATATGGTAGAAAGTACAATGAAGAAATCCACAACTCTCCACATGTTAGAGATTATCTGATATGGTAGAAAGTACAATGAAGAAATCCACAACTCTCCACATGTTAGAGATAAATCAGAACCATTCATGGAGACAACCAAACAGGCAAACAGGGATGGAGCTGGTTCCCAGCAATGTACAGCACAAGAGAAAATCCTAATATAAATATAAGGTTTGGTTAGGAGGAAAACATAAGTCATAATAATATTCTATCATCCACATTGATAAAAATCATTATGTCAATATTTGAAAGGCAAGAAACGGAAAGTGCTGAATCTTCAACTTCCACTAATGGACATCTATCGAGAGCTACGAAGTGGGACCCACTCCAGCTGGAAAGCAGACAGGCCACTGATGATAAGAAAGCACACCTCTAAAACAGCACTGAGCTGGGCGTTCTCAAAAGCCCAGGAGAGGCAAGAGGCCCCTGTCCCCAGCTGATCAAAACTGTGAAATGATTGCATATACTACCTTGTTAAAAATAGAAAATGGGGGGGGAGGCGGGAGAACAAGGGAATCCGTGACTGATATGTAAAATTAAATTAACTTATAAAATAAAATTTTTTAAAAAATTAAAAAAATAAAAAATAAATAGAAAATGAAGCCAGGCAGTGGTGGTGCACACCTTTAATCCCAGCATTCAGGAGGCAGAGGCAGGTGGATCTCTGTGAGTTCGAGGCCAGCCTGGGCTACAGAGTAAGTTCCAGGAAAAGAATCAAAGCTACACAGAGAAACTCTGTCTTAAAAAAAAATAGAAAATGAATTTACAAAGGAGAAAGTCTGTACTAGGATGACAGGATGCTTCAAATGTTGACTCTAAGATGCTAATATTTAGTGGAAAGATTTCCCATGGATAGGTAGGATTAACATAGTAAAAATGGCAATCTTACCAAAAGCAATCTACAGATGCAATGCAATCCCCATCAAAATCCCAACACAATTCTTCATAGACTTGGAAAGAACAATACTCAACTTCATATGGAAAAACAAAAAACCCA